TGGTTACGGGTCAATACCAAAAGGACCTCTCAAACAAACTTCTCAAACAAAGGGCCAGTTTAATGTCCCTCAGACTTTATGGGGATGGATTGTGGCCAGTGGAGGTAGAAAATGTCCAGTCCCAGCATCAGTGAGATAAACATGGCCTTTGGGTTGGTGGTCAGCAGCAGGAGGAGTAGTGCTTCATCATTGATACTAGTTGGAGGAATAATTCCTAACCATTAGTGGCAATGGCTGAAATTACAGTTGCAAGAAAAAGTATGTGAACCCCTGGGATTACGTGGAGTTTTGCATGAATTGGGCATAAAATGTGCTCTGAACGTCATCTAAGTCACAACAATAGAAGAACACAGTCTGCTGCACATAATACTACACAAACATTAGATGTTGCCATGGTTTAATTGCACATAACATGTAAACATTCATAGTGCAGGAAGGAAAAAGTATGTGAACCTTTGGACTTAATAACTGGTTGACCCTCCTTTGGCAGCAATAACCTCAACCAAACGTTTCCTGTAGTGCAGATCAGACCTGCACAACGATCTGGAGTAATTTTGGACCACTCCTCTTCACAAAACTGTTTCAGTGTAGCAATATTCTTGGGATGTCTGGTGTGAATCGCTCTCTTAAGGTCATGCCACAGCATTTCAATCGGGTTGAGGTCAGGACTCTGGGCCACTCCAGAAGGCGTATTCTGTGCTGTTGCAGCCATTGTTTTGTTGAATTATTTGTATGCTTTGGGTCATTGTCCTGTTGCATCACCCATCCTCTGCGGAGCTTCAGTTGGCGGACAGATGGTCGTACGTTTTCCTGCAAAATGTCTTGATAAACTCTGAAATTCATTTTCCCATCAATGACAACAATCCGTCCAGGCCCTGAGGCAGTAAAGCAGCCCCAAACCATGATGCTCCCTCCGCCATGTTTTACAGTGGGGATGAGGTTTTGATGTTGGTGTGCTGTGCCTTTTTTTCTCTACACATAGTGTTGTGTGTTCTTCCCAAACAACTCATCTTGGTTTCATCTGTCCACAGTATATTTTGCCAGTAGTGCTGTGGAACATCCAGGTGCTCTTTTGCAAACTTCAAACGTGCTGCAATATTCTTTTTGGACAGCAATGGCTTCCTCCGTGGTGTCCTCCCATGTACTCCATTCTTGTTTAATGTTTTCCTTATTGTAGATGTGTCAACAAAAATGTTAGCATGTGCCAGAGATTTCTGTAGGTCTTTAGCTGACACTCTGGAATTCTTCTTTACCTCATGTAGCATTCTGCGCTGTGCTCTTGCAGTCATTTTTACAGGACGACCACGCCTAGGGAGACTAGCAACAGTGCTAAACTTTCTCCATTTGTAGACAGTCTGTCTTACGATGGACACATGAACATCAAGGCTTTTGGAGATACTTTTGTAACCCTTTCCAGTTTCATGCAAGTCAACAATTCTTGATCGTAGGTCTTCTGAGAGCTCTTTTCTGCGAGGCATGGTTCACATCAGACAGTGCTTCTTGAAACCAGTAAACCCAAAACAGGTGTGTGTTTTTTAAGGGCAGGACAGCTGTCAGCAACACATCCAATATCATCACACTGATTGGAGTCAAGGTTGGCTCACTCCTGGCTCCAATTAGTTCTGGGAGAAGTCATTAAGCTAGGGCCTCACATACTTTTTCCTCCCTGCACTGTGAATGTTTACATGTTATGTGCAATTAAACCATGGCAACATCTAATGTTTGTGTAGTATTATGTTCAGCAGACTGTGTTCTTCTATTGTTGTGACTTAGCTGACAGAGCACATTTTATGCCCAATTCATGCAAAACTCCACGTAATCCCAAGGGGTTCACATACTTTTTCTTGCAACTGTACATCTTGTGGTGAACCCTCTGTATTCACACTGGTGAAGTCTTCTCTTGATTACTGACTTTGACACACATACACCTACCTCCTGGAGAGTTTTTTTGATCTGGCCAACTGTTGTGAAGGATGTTTTCTTCACCAGGGAAAGAATTCTTCGGTCATTCACCACAGTTGTTTTCCGTGGTCTTCCGGGTCTTTTGGTGTTGCTGAGCTCACTGGTGCATTCCTTCTTTTTAAGAATGTTCCAAACAGTTGTTTTGGCCACGCCTAATGTTTTTGCTATCTCTCTGATGGGTTGTTTTGTCTTTTCAGCCTAATGATGGCTTGCTTCACTGATAGTGACAGCTCTTTGGATCTCATCTTGAGAGTTGACAGCAACAGATTCCAAATGCAAATAGCACACTTGAAAAGAACTCTGGACCTTTTATCTGCTCATTGCAATTGGGATAATGAGGGAATAACACACACCTGGCCATGGAACAGATGAGAAGCCAATTGCCCCATTACTTTTGGTCCCATAACAAGTGGGAGGCACATATGCAAACTGTTGTAATTCCCACACCGTTCACCTGATTTGGATGTAAATACCCTCAAATTAAAGCTGACAGTCTGCAGTTAAAGCATATCTTGTTCGTTTCATTTCAAATCCATTGTGGTGTTGTATAGAGCCAAAAATGTTAGAATTGTGTTCATGTCCCAATATTTATGGACCTGACTGTATATATATACAGTGAGGAAGAGAAGAATTTGAACACCCTGCGATTTCGCAGGTTCTCCCACTTAGAAATCATGGAGGGGTCTGAAATTCACATTGTAGGTGCATTCCCACTCAGAGAGACAGAATTAAAAAAAAATTCAGGAAATCACATTGTATGATTTTTAAAGAATTTATTTGTCTTGCACTGCTGAACAGAAGTATTTGAACACCTAAGAAACAGCAAGAATTCTGGCTCTCAAAGACCTGTTACTGTGCCTTTAAAAAGTCCACCTCTACTCCACTCATTAATTTAACTTAGTAGCACCTGTCTGAGCTCTTTAAAGACACCTGTCCACCCCACAGTCAGTCAGACGCCAACTACTACCATGGGCAAGACTATAGAGCTGTCAAAAGACACCAGAGACAAAATTGTGGACCTCCACAAGGCTGGAAAGGGCTACCGGGCAATTGCCAAGCAGCTTGGTGAAAATAGATCAACTGTTGGATCAATTGTTAGAAAATGGAAGAGGCTAAAGACGACTGTCAGTCTCCCTCGGACTGGGGCTCCATGCAAGATCTCACCTCATGGGGTATCACTGATGATAAGAAAGGTGAGGAATCAGCCCAGAACTACAAGGGAGGAGCTGGCCAATGACATGCAGAGAGCTGGGACCATAGTTTCAAAGGTCACTGTCGGTAGAACACTACGCCGTCAGGGTTTCAAATCATGCATTGCACGAAAGGTTCCCCTGCTCAAGTCATCACATGTCCAGGCCCATCTGAAGTTTGCCAATGACCATCTGGATGATCCAGAGGAGGCATGGGAGAAAGTCATGTGGTCAGATGAGACCAAAGTAGACTTTTTGGTCTAAACTTCACTCGTCGTGTTTGGAGGAAAAAGAAGGATGAGTTGCATCCCAAGAACACCATTCCTACTGTGAAGCATGGGGGTGGTAACATCATGCCTTGGGGGTGCTTTTCTGCGAAGGGGACAGGACGACTGCACTTTATTAAGGAGAGGATGAATGGGGCCATTTATTTTGAGATTTTGAGCAACAACCGCCTTCCCTCAGTCAGAGCATTGAAGATGGGTTGTGGCAGGGTCTTCCAACATGACAATGACCCGAAGCACACAGCCAGGATAACCAAGGAGTGGCTCCGTAAGAAGCATATTAAGGTTCTGGAGTGGCCTAGCCAGTCTTCAGACCTAAATCCAATAGAACATCTTTGGAGGGAGCTGAAACTCCGTGTTGCTCAGTGACAGCCCAAAACCTGCCAGATCTAGAGGAGATCTGTGTGGAGGAGTGGGCCAAAATCCCTGTTGCAGTGTATGCAAACCTGGTCAAGAACTACAGGAAACGTTTGACCTCTGTAATTGCAAACAAAGGCTTCTGTACCAAATATTAACACTGATTTTCTCAGGTGTTCAAATACTTATGTTCAACAGTGCAAGACAAATAAATTCTTTAAAAATCATACAATGTGATTTTTTTTTTTAAATTCTGTCTCTCAAAGTGGGAATGCACCTACAATGTGAATTTCCATGATTTCTAAGTGGGAGAACTTGCAAAATCACAGGGTGTTCAATACTTCTGTTCCTCGTATGTATATATATATATATACACGCACACAAACATACATCAGCTCCATTTTCGGTAAATCCCTCCCTGCAGCTCTAATCATTGTCTATTTTTGCCATCCACCTTTACCCTAGATTCACACCTATGCGTTTTTTGAAGCGTTTTGCAGAAACACACTACATTCCATTTAACATGATTTCCTAAGGGAGATGTTCACATGTCCACATTTTCACCCGGTGTGTTTTTTGGAAAGGGTCAGGGACTTTTTTGAACGCAAAAAAGTTGCGTTTTTGGTTCTATAGATTTCAATGGAAACGCTGCAGAAAAGCATATAGTGCGTTTTTGATGCATTTTAAATCTGCCTAGCAACAAGAAAAATAAAAAAAAAATTAAAAACGCAAAACACATTAAAAAAGTGTCAAAAATGCAGGTACAAAAATGCAAAATGCAATGCAGAAACGGCTCAAACGCAAACTGCATAGATAATGTCCTATGTGATAACAGTTCTGTGTAATTAGATTGTAAGCTCCAAGAATCAGGCCCCCTCCTTTCCCTCTTGTGTATTGAACTGTATTGTTGCTGTATTGTCTCCCATTATATTGTAAAGCGCTGAGCAAATTGTTGGCGCTATATAAATCCTGTATAATAATAATAATAATCCATTTATAACAGTGTGTCATCCACAGGAACACTTTTTTCTCTCTCATCAGCGTCAATAACCACATCTCCGCTAGTACTGGCAGAAAGACCAGGAACTCCCCACTACTAACATGGCGACTTGGGCATTTCCGCTCGGAAACGGATGTAGTCTTAATTAGGCCAGTTTCCGGTGCCGCGGTGCCTCCGGTTGGCGCCGGTTGAAGAAAGGTGTCCAAGATGTTGTCCATGGACTTTTTGGACGATGTGCGAAGAATGAACAAGAGGCAGGTGAGGGATGAGCGGACTGTGTACAGGAGCCGGATGTGTGTCATTCCCCGGACATCACCGACAGTCCGGGGACACAGTGTCTGTACAGGAAGTGCTCTGTGTGTGTCATGTCCCATTCTTCATTATAGAGAAGGCACAGCCTTTTCAGGGTCTAGTGAATGTCCAAGTCTGACCAGATGGATGCCCATTAATCAGGGAGGTCTTCGTTCCCCTGTCAGTTTGTACGTCCCATTGGTCAAGATTTCCCTTCCTTTCCTCTCCTGGAGACACAACAGGAAGTGAGAGGAAATCTCGCCAAAATGGGAGGAGTTCCTCTGACAGCTGTCACCAGAACAGCTGTCCCCCCTATGAAATGGATGTTTGCCCTCCCTCTGTAAACAAAACTCTGTTTCCATAATAATTGATGCTGTATGATAAGCCGGAAAGCTGACAGCCATCATAGGCGGTCGAGGCATTCCCCGCATGTATGCAAGGAGTGTGTACATGTGCAGATGCAGGGAGGGAAATGATTGGCTGTCGGCTTTGACAGCTTCCTGGTGGGATAGCTCAGGGGGGTTTGGACTTGTCTGATCCCTCCAGAGATCATCACTACTTAGTAGTCCTTGGAGTGAAACGTGGTCTTCCTTGCAGCCAAAAGGTTGGATGAGGCTATTTCTATGTCACCTGTGCCTAGACAAAAAAAAGCGTTTTGTAAATGGATGAGGGGGGATAAATGAAAGGTCCACCTCCTCCAATCACAGAATGCTTTTCATTGATGGAAATTATAGTACAGCCTATGAATGAAGGAGGGGCATATGAATGGAAGGTCCACCTTGTCCATTTTTTGATGGGGTTTTAAGTGCTTTGGTGTAACTTTGCATTTTTTTTTTTTTACTTTATTGATAAGCCCCACCTATGTGATAACATTTTGATTTCACAGGTTCTCTTTAGGGCTCATGTACGCTGCAGCTGATAAACTCACATTTATTATTATACAGTATATAGCGCCAAAGGGTATGCTCAGCGCTGTACAGTAGGGGGACAGAACATGAGACAGGACAGTAACAATACAATACACGAGGGGTTCGAGGGCCCTGCTCTTTCGAGCTTACAATCTAGGAGACATTTAGGAGCTGTTCAGCTTTTTTTTTTTTTTTTTTTTTTTTCCAGCAGCCCCTGAACTCTCCCTAATGTTTTCCTATGTGTCCATGTACACATCTTCGTTTACAGTCATTTACAGGCAGTTGAGTTTACAGTCTTTTTTTTTTTTTTTTTTTTTTTTTTTTTTACCGCAACAAACTTGCATTCAGGAGTAGATTTTATCAGCATTTCTAACGCTCGTAAATGCGGCTATCCGCGTTTATAAGTGTTTGCATTTGAAAATTTTTTTTAACTCTTCCATTTCAAGATACTGTCCAGAGCCTTTTTTCATCATGAAAAATGCATGCACAGCATTTTCCCGGTACTCAAATGGACCTGGTACACCATACATTGAGGTTTTGCATGAAAGAAAATGTTAGACACTTCTGCAATACATTCTGCACAGAAATGAGCTGGAACACATCCAAACACCACAATAAAAAACAAAAAAAAAAAAGATAGGTAATCTCAACAAATACTGCTCTCTCTGCTTCTGCTCTCTCTATTTCTCTCAAAATGTCTGAAATAGTTAATTTTTTACTGTTTTTCAGTGCATTCTGGGCACTTTGGAAGGTCTCCCCTGAGGTTATCTTTAAAAAACACGTCTAAACGCAAACGCGTATAAACAGACGTTTTTTAACCTACGTTTTCCAGCAGTCAGTTTCCATTGTTCAGAAGTGTCCCTGTGTACATGGGGCCTTACTGAGACACTGGGGTCTATTAGACCCCTGATTTCTCCCCTGCACCTCACTGAAGATAATGGAGCACAGCTCATGCTTCATTAGCTTCTTTATAGGTCGCAGTGAATGGAAGTGGTGTAATCCTTGCCGCTTCCAGGTTCTTGCTAGCTAGGCAAGATCAGGGAAAGAACCTGGTGACACCCACCATGCTGGTCCTGGAACTGTAGGTGGGACAACGAAGCCTAAGAAACATTCGGGGGGGGGGGGGGGGCACTCCAGGGGTCTGTGGAAGCAATCAGATGGGTGTCCAGATCACTTCATGTGAAAACCGACAGCTGGTGCAGTTTTACCCAGGAGTGTATGTAAACTCCCGCTGATGCCTATGTAAGTATACTATGGTGGCTGTAAAAAGAGTTTGTTTTTTTTAATTAAACATTATTATTATTTCAGGTACTTGTATAGCACTCTCAATTTACACAGCACTTTACATGTATTTATTGTATATTCACATCAGTCCCTAACCCTCAAGGAGCATACAAACTAAGATTCCTAACTCACATGCATACATACCAGGGTCAATTTAGACAGGAGCCAATTAACCTACCAGCATTTCTTTGGAGTGTGGGAGGAAACCGGAGTACCAGGAGGAGACCCATGCAGGCAATGGGAGGACATGCAGACTCCAGGCAGGGGGGGTACCGTGGTTGTCATTTTAACCAACAACCATAACGCCACCAGGCGGAGTTGCTAACCATGTAGCAACTGTATAAATATGTTATACTTACCTGCTCCGTGCAGTGGTTTTGCATAGAGCAGCCCCAATCCTCTTCCTCTGCTGTATGAGCCAATGAGGAGGCAGAGACCTGGGAGAGCTGCTCTCATGCACATCGCTGGATCGAGGTGGGGCTGGGGGGAGCTGCACCCAGAAGATTTTTTACCTTAATACATAAAATGCATTAAGGTAGGAAAAAACCTTCTGCCTTTAGAACCACTTTAAGTTTTGAGTGCGTTTTAAGTGTTTTTAAACTTAGGGCTCGTTTACACTTGTGGCAGTCTTTGAAAAGTGGCTGAGAAAATGGGTTCAGCTCCTGAAACGTGTCAGTTTTTCCACCAGATGGTTGCAGGAAGGGACCCGGATATCCCATACCAAAGTATTTTGCTGTTAGCCTACTATAGAGTTTTGTTTGTGTGTATCCATTTGTTATTTTATATTACCGTATTTTCCGGCGTATAAGGCGACTGGGTGTATAAGACGACCCCCTAATTTTCCAGTTAAAACATAGGTTTTGGGCTATACTCGTCATATAAGACTACCCCCCTTCTGAGGCAACACCATTTAACCCCTAGCCTTCAGGGCACTTATACTCACTTCCTCCCCAGGCCAATTTTCAGCTTTCAGCGCTGTCACACTTTGAATGACAATTGCGCGGTCATGCAACACTGTACTCATATGAAAAAGGTGGCACTGATGGGCACTAATGAGGAGGCACTGGTAGGTGGCACTGATGGGCATTGACAGGCATCACTGATGGGCACTGAAAGGCAGCACTGATACATGGCATGACGGGCGGGCTGGCACTGATGGGTGATGAAAGGCAGCTCAGATGGGCACTGATATGTGGCATTGATGTGGCACTGATGGACACTGACAGCTGGCACTGCTGGGGCTACACTGATCATCAGGGCACACTGATCATCAGTGCCCTGATGATCAGTGTACATGTCCCCCCCTCCGCGGAAAGCCGATTACCGGCTCTCCTCTCCTCTCGAGCTGTCAGCGTGACAGCTCGAGAGGAGAGAAATGCCGATAACCGGCATTTCCCTGTTTACATGTGATCAGCAGTGATTGGACACAGCTGATCACATGACCGAGCCGACATCTTCGGCTCTTTCCGTGATCAGTGATAGCTGTGTCCGAGGGACACAGCACATCGCCGTGCATGCGCAGAGAATGGGAGGACATCATATGAGCAATCTTGGCAAGTGATGTATTCTATTAATGAATACAGAGCCTGTTCGGATTGGCTGTGTCAGAGAGGCGGGCTGATGATGTCACAACTTCAGCCAATCCGAGCAGGCTCTGTATTCATTAATTTGTGTGTTTTTATAGAACACAAAGCTTCCTGTGAATATGTGAACAGCACTCAGCCTTACTCAATTTTGTTTCTGTAGTGGGGTAGGAAGTTCCCATCCCTATGCCAGAACACAGTGCTGTATACTGTGTGTAGCTAAGGCTATAGACAGTAAATACAGTGTGCCCAGCAAGCGGACCTGTGCAATAAATAGTTTATGCCAACTTGGACCAAACAAACTGTTAGTGCAGGGACTTCTTCCCTGCGTGTCCCGGGGCACAGGAGTCCAATCAAATGAATGGGCTCTCGTGCAAATCGCGGCCTGCAATACCTCACAAATGTAAACCAGGGGTAGGGACATTAAACATGGAGTTAGGCTTGGTTCACATCTGTGCGGATGGTGCCTGCACTTTTCCCTCATCGCTGTCCCCAGATCGTAGATGGCCGAGAACTGCGGGACCCGCACAAATACCTGCAGACGCACCACCCACACATAGCAGAGAGTGCGGGACCCGCAGGCGGCTGCCAGTTAATTCTAATGGCATGCATTGAAAATCGCAACCGTACTGGGAAACTCAGTTCCCATGCGGCTGCAATTTCCAAAGAAGTGCAGGGACTTCTTCCCTGGGTGTCCCGGGGCACGGGAGTCCATTCAAATGAATGGGCTCTCATGCTCACGAAAATCTCAGGCTGCACATGTTTGAACCTGGCCTTTGCTTTCCTACAATAAAGCAAAAAAAACCTCATATTGACAGACAAGCATGTAAAAATATTGAAATATCATAGAAATTATGGTAAACACTGTAGGAAAAAACTCAAAATATCTGTTTGCTAAATATAAACTTTAGTTTTCTCTACAGGAAGTAACACTAATTAATAGAAATGTGTCCTATTGTGAAACAAAATCTTAATTGACTGTGCATTTATTGTGTTGGAAAATGCATGAGAACATGTCCCAAATGACTTGTGTATTGACATAATCTATATTCCTGTTTCTCCTTGTAACTTCTGATTGTAATCCTTTAAATAACCCTGTCATGGGAGAACTACGGTACTGCCGACCTCTTTGCGAAAATTCTGGGTAATGCGCTGTTGATTCATTGGCTTTAATAAAGTACTGTATGTTCTC